GAACGCTTCGCCTCCAGCGGCCTTGGCGGGCAGCGGAAGCCGTGCGGGAGGGGTGCAGCTTCGCCCTGGGGAGAAGTTTTTAAAACGGAGCTGTTTTCTCTCCCCTGGCCTTGTAAATCGCGGTTCTGGAGCTAGGCCTGAAGTCGGCTGTGCTGGGCCGCATGCAGCCGGCGGGGGCTGTGCGCCTCGCTCCCAGCCGGGAAGTCTACAAACAGATCTTTGAAGATGAGGTAAAAAAGAAAAAAAAGTAGTGGGTAAAAGCCAAATGAGTTAATTATGTTGGTCAGTTGCCTGCTGGTTGTTAAAGTGCCGCCCTCAAACCAGAGGTCAGTCTCAACCTTTCTGGTTTAGTAGAAAATAATTGTGTTATCTTCAGCATATGCTTTATAATGCATCTGCGGGTGTTCCTGTGTCTGATTGCGTATCAGGACACATTGGCTGAAGGCAGAATCCTTAGAACACAGCAGTAAAAGATAAATTAATAGGCATGGTAAGCCAGATTCAGGCATTTCTTGCTCTGCTGTTGACCTCCCGTGTAACCCTAAGCTAGGCACACAATCTGGTTTGCTTCAGTTTTCCTCTCTGAGGAGAGTGAGCTTTTTTCCCCTGTTTTGAAAATAGTCTTGGGTGAAAATTGTTATGCATCTGCCAAGTAGTATTAATTATTTTACCTTTCTCTACTGCCGCCTTCCCCTTACTGTTTTTATCAAATTTATTTTGTTATCATTCTCTGTTCAGTAGGCTGGTAAGAATTCTAACCGTTTTGATTATGGTTCTTTGAAGGTTCGCTTAGTACGTTCTTTGGATAAAGTAAGGAACAAGACTAGGTTTTCTATAAAGAACGAAAGGCTCGCTTTGGTTAGGGAGTCGGAAATTCCTACTGATGCCAGGCTACTGCTGTGTTACCAGCACAAGTGTGTTGAAAGAACGCCTTACAGTGACTCCACAGAAAAGCCACCATCGGACAGGTAGAGAACAGAAGCATAAATACCCCAATTATATGTTCATGACTACGGGTATGAAGCTGTAAGGTTTGCACTGGGAGCTAAACACTCCTGAGTTCTTGGTCACAGCACTAGCAACTTGTAACAGACTGTCTCCTTGCCAGATGTAAATTGAGTGTAATGAGCTGCTGCCCGTTAAAGTGCAGAATAGCAGGCTGATATTTGCAAAGTCTGATACATGTTTTTGAACTATAAACTGTGTTAATGGTTTACACAGTGATGCAGTAATGATTATGTAATGAGCGAGAAAATAAATTGGTGCGTCCATCCTTTTCACCCTAACTCTTCTGCTGAATAATGACACCCTTATTCAAGTGTATTTCCACATTTCTAGCTAGTTCTTACTTAACAGTTCACAGACTGTATACCTTTTAGAGATAGTAAATATGTCTTCATAGTTTACATGTGTTAAATCTAGCATTTATTGCTTTTTACGCCATCATAGCAGATTTGAGATGGTCATCAACCCAGGATACATAATTACTCAGTCCAATTAATCTCAGAAGAAGCAACATTAATTCCTTAAACCACATACTTTGAAGTTAGAATGATGCCTATGTGCACTTAAATGTTACTTTTTGCCAATTAAATTCATTACACTGATTGCAGATCCCTACTCTTACATATTTAGTACAAATCATAGCTTTATTCTCTTTCTGTTTCAGCAAAGCTACAACATTTCAAAAGACGTGGAAAAGTGTTGTTGCAAATGCAGCTGAGGAAGTCGGGTCCCTACCTGATTTTGTTGGTAAAATTTATTTCCCTTAATGTCAGATACTTTAATTTGTGTTGTTAGGAGCCACCACGCATATAATGGTTTTTGCTGAACAAAGTATAAAATCAAGCTCAGAAATGACCTGACATGTTTGATGATTTGTAAGTAATTTTGAAGAGTCTACTCATAGAAAAAATGGTTGTAAAATTGTCAATCAACGTTTGTGTTAGGTGGTAAATGCCAGTTATGATGTCAGCAGATCTCATTCTTGGAAGTTGCAATTTTTTGTGTCATACCTGAACTTAATTCATCGCTTCCATGCTTTTATCCTTCTGAAAATCACAAATTTAAAAAATCAAAGGAAACTTTAAAATATGCTTTACTATTTCTAACGTACATTTGCACAGATTTCCCTTCCCGTGGAAAGCTGTCACACACTGTAACAGCTGCACAAACTACAGAGGTCAGAGTGTGGATTTAGTGATTCGTTGTGCACGCGTTATGTGTTCTGCTGTTCCAAGCTACATCATCCTTATTTCTTCCTTGGCAGTTCCTGAGGAAACGAGGAGTAATATCTTGGAACGCCTGTCAGAACGCCGGCGAGGCCGTCATGATGAAGCACTAACCTCGATGTATCATGAGCTTGCCTGCATTGCCAGGGTAAAACTGGATTTTGTAATCCGGGTAGTCTGGAGTACTGTGCTAAGGTCAGGGCCTAATATTCAAAAGATCTGACTGACTTCCTTACCTTCTTAGGAGATGGAACCCTTTGTTTTGGAGCCTGGAAAATTCCTTCTGACAAAACTGATGGAATCTGATAGAAAAATTGAACTTCTGTTTAAAAAGATTGAGTTTGACGCTACTCTGGAAGGTTTCTCGGCTGAAGTAAGGCAGCTTCATGCCATTGTCTCACCTTCAGTTATTTGCACCTGGTCTGTGTAACACAGCTTCTTCTGTCTTGCTGTACTTTTGAGATATAAATGGTTTTTTGGTTTGGGGGTTTGTTTGTTTTTCTTTGTCATTGGTTGGTTGAGTTGGGGTTTTTTTTGATATTTACTTTTCAGTGGGATTGTGAGTAAATCATTCTTGCAGGGTTTGGAAGAACTGTGGAACATCATCCATCAGGAGTCCTTGACCAGAAAGAAGTGGATTAGGGAAATGGATGAATCCTTACAAAAGGTTGAATGGCGTCGAGCTGATAAAGTGAGCTGTAGTTTTCATAGCTGTTAATTAAGCATAAGATTATTGCTTCCTCATAATGCTGGATGCAGAGCAGAGAGTAGCTTATTTCCACAGGAGTGAGAGGGCTGCCAGGGGTTCCCTTGTGTAGGTGACTACTGTCTTTTCACCAATAGATCATTCTCTCATTTTATACCCACGCAATCAGGAGCAGATATTTCTTTTCCAGTTACAAGGTGTTTGTTTCTTCCACAATAACCTGTAGTAAAGATGCAAGGACGATGTGAGCTGCTTTTATTTTTCTGCGGGTTATTTAGGTCAAACTGTCAACAGGTCTAACGTTATTTTGTTGGTCCGTACCTATTCTGCAGCTGAGAATGTGCACAGATGTGCCTTAGCTAATTTTAGTTTGGGAAGGCTGGGCGTCAGCAGCAGATGTGCTACAGTTATGTAGATTTCAGCCTGACCTGTAAAAGTCATTGGACATCGCCATAAATGTTTGGATAAATAAATGGACAGTCCATAAGGAAGACCTCGCTGCTTTACCCTTGTAGGCAAACAAAAGCTGTCTGTTATACCTGTGTCAGTTTGTCCTCTCTTTGTAATGCAGACGTGATGAACAGTATTACCAGTAACTGCTCTGTTTGATTAGTTATGAAAAATACCAGAGGTGACCACGTTCGCTTAAATTTCATGTCCGCTTAAAACAACCGCTACAGATATTTGAAAGGAAGTCGGTTTGATTTTTAAATTCAGATTGTAGCCTGTCTGCAGTGCAGTCAATTATCACAGATATTAAAGAGAAATCAGTTGAGTAGTAACACGTTGGAATGTTTTAGTTATTATTTTTATGAATGGTTAAAAAAATCAGTATTTAAGATCGCTGTTTTAAGATTCACTTCTCAATCTGTCTATCAGCCAATTTAAATTATTTTAATGGCAAAAAATGTCTTGTTCATTGCTTAACTTGGGAAACTGACATTTGAGTTATACAGATTTTTTTTTTTTTTCTTTATTCTTGTATTGCACAGATAACAGATGTACTGAGGAAGTATACTGTGATACTGGAGGAAATTTCCTTCTTCTTGTCAGCTGACGTTTACAGGTTCATGAATGATGAGGCCATGGTAAATCTTTCATACTGAGTGTCTGTTTTACCTGTGAGAAGATAGCAATCTGAATATTCCCAGTATGTCTTTTTTTCCAACTGATATTCATTATTTCTACCTATCAGGCACTGCAATATAGGACAGTTTTCTATTTTGCAGGATATTCTTTATCATTTGTATTCTTTTTCCCTTGTTTTACATAGAACAGGCAATTATTTTTTTTTTTGCATGTTATATGCTGCTTTTATTCCCTATTTTACTTTTTAATACGCAGATGATTAACAGAGCACTGTTGGCTAATCAGAGGGCAATTGCCAAGCTGTTCTTTAATCTAATGAAATCAGAGATGAAGGGGGAATTATCACATCGATTGAAATGGCAAGATAGAGTCAAGGACTGGAAGCTCATCCATAAGAACAACCTAGTTAACGGTTTCAGGTCAGAAATTTTGCAATTATATTTTGGAGTATGAATAACACAGTGACTAGTGTCCACTTCTGTTTTCTATAAACAGTAGTATTTTACCATTTTTCCATTATAAAAATAAAAAGCTAAAAGAACCTGGCATTCTTTTTTTACCTGGTATGTATAAAACGTATTTTGTATTTGTATTTCAAACACGAAATTTTCCCAGATACTTACTTCAATGTATTCTTCCATCCTACAGAGAATTTATGGCAAATGAAGAAATACAGAATCCCCCAACTGTGAAAACTGAAATGGAAAATATGATAACGGATCAGATTTCACTTAGTGAAAGGAGACTGGAGCTTTTGCAGCACATTTGGTATGAC